AGCAAAACACCGGCATGGCCGCTCTCAGGTTTCTTTCTGCTCTCTGGTACAATTCACAGCGATCACAGCTGATTACAGGTCGCAGCTGTTAGCCGATAGCAGTATGTCGCTCGCGTGGAATCCTTCGAAGAAGCACAGTGAGCGCGAGAGGTGAGGCGAAAGCAGTAAATCAGAGATACCTGCAAATTAATGTATCTTTCAAATATTGAGCAATGTGTTTCCGTGGCTCGTAAGAGCCTTTTACGATTTATCCGTAAGCTAACCTACAAAATTGATTCGAAGGAATTTATATCCGACGTCAGAGTTGAATTCACAGATGAAACAGGCGAAAAAGCTACAGTAGACCCTTCCATTGCCGGAAGTTTTACTTTGGAAAGTACCCGAAATAAGCATTTCATTTAATAAGATCGGATGTTTGACACATCTTACTTGTTTAGGCCTTAAAGTCACGAATTTCAGTGCGCCGTTGTAATGTTGCCTCTTTTCTTACAGATGGGTATCCATCTATCCAATATATGTGAACAGTAAGAGAAGCTTGGCGGGCGGGCGGAAGTTGGCCAAGGACAAGTGCGTGGAGAATCCAACGCATCAGGAGATACGGGATGTCCTGCTAGCGGCGGGCCTCAACGTGGGCGTCGAGAATAAGCTGCATCCAAAAGAGCGCAGCAAGGAGCCTGTGTTTCGCGGGCGTATTCGCGTGCAGTTGAAGAACGACGACGGCACACCGGTACGGTCCGAGTTTTCCACCAGAGACTCCCTGCTGGAGTACGTCGGCACCACGATTTCGAAACTGAAGACCCGCCAGGGTAAGCAGAGCTCTAGCGAGCAGGCGTCGCAGCCGTCTACGTCGACTTCGAAGAAAGGGAAAGGCAAGGGGAGGAGATAAAAAAGAAAGGGAAGATTCGGAACTGTTAAAAGTTGTCCTTTATTTATACACGCATGTCTTATATTTTATACGAAACATTTGTAAATGCCTATAGTTAGATTCAATTCTGTTTCACGCAATATATAAGAGGAGAATTCGTACACAGTACGTGACGTACATGCACGTACTCGCATACACGTTATGTAATAATAAGGCAATATACAGGAAAGCTCAACGTAAGATAAAATTAATATATTGAAGAATTGAAGAAATACTGTAAATGAGATGTGGACTTCTGAAGTGAATCACCATGTGTGACTGATCACTCTATTGTAAACTACTTAGAACTCTCAATTCTCCAACCATATAAGATAAATAATAAATAATTAAGTAATAAAGAAACTATAGATTTAGGACTTTTTTTCGAAAGAGATAGTGCACGCGTAATACACGATTCCATCGCACTGCTATCCAGTTCGTGTCCTTCCTGATGATGAACTTTAGTAACTTCATTAATATAATATGGAAGACTGGATAACCAATCTCACGAAAAAGAGGAGAGCTAACGAGGAAGAGAAGTGTGTGTGGCAACATGTGTTAATGCGCATGTATATGTTTTTTAATGGGACTCTAGCACACAAGTTGCAAAATTTCGTACAATATGTATCATGCAATGCTCTTTTTGAAATTAAACGCTTGTTGGAAATAATAATGTAAAGAATTATTATTATTAAACTAATTTACATTATGTTTTTATAATACATACATATATATAGACAGATACAATAATTATATTTGATTTTATCGACAATTACAAATTATGCTAGTTTTTTATATAAAATCTTTTGTATGAGATATATATTAAAACACTACACGTTATGTAAAAGAGTTTGTACAGCGTGAGGCGTGTGTATTTGACGTTTTTTACTTTTTTAAAAAGGTAATTCTATTCTAAGAATTTTGTAGTATATTTATAATTTATCAGCTCTATTTTTTTCGGTTGTTTTCTCTTCAGGAGTATTATCTCTAGTTTTATCGTCAGATTTTTCTACTTCCTCCTTGAATTGTACAGCTTTGTCAGTAGTTAAAGCTCTACTTTTCTGTTCAGTATTTACATTATTCTTATAAGAAGATTGTGAATTGGACATGAAAAACGGATCCCATATATCTTGCGAGAACGGCACAAGTTGTACAATATAGGGATTTACAGGAGAGCTTGTAGTCAGCGCAGGACTTTCGAATGGACAATTGCACGGATATGGGAAAAGCTGATTTTGCATTGGCGAGTACCACGGTGGGGATGCGACGTATTGTGGTAGAGTTCCTTCGACATGTTTCTCAACAAGTTTATTCTGGAAAAGATACATTGTGATTTATAATTTTGCTCTTGTTGAAGATCAATTTAATGCTTATTGCTTGTCAATTATGCATAACTGCACTCAATAATTTCAACAATTAAATAATTGTATCAATGTCACTTGATGCGTATGTTAATAATAAGCAGTGTTGCAATTTCTCTCTGATCTTAATAATACTATTCTTTATTATTTACTAAGAAAAAGTTATAAATTTACGCAAGAGAATGTGATATTAAATAAAATCCACGACTTATAAAACATTGTTTACATTAATGCAAACTTACTGCATTGGCGATAGGAAGGTTGGAAGTAGTAAAATCATCATCATTTTTATACGGTTGACCAACACTGGCTGTATCCGATGTATCCGGTTGGAACTAACGAGAAAAGGATTTAATTGCTGTGTTAATATATTTATTGTATTATAATTTGCTAAGTGTATATTAGAAACGTACAAACTAATTGCTTCTAATAGACTACAATTTTATCTGAAAGGTGAGACACGCGAACATTCGTATTGAATTAATAAATCGTAGCATCTGTCAGGTTTCACTAAACCTGCAAATTATCCTGTTGAATTACATTGGTTTACTTACTTCAGGGCTTCTGACGATACCGTGATGGTATACAGGATGGTACACACGAGGGTGTAATATACGGTGTAAAATATGCGTTGGAAGTGTGGCCGCTCTGATCAAAGGGTGAAGAGGCTGTGGGTGAATAAGTGAAACCAACGGACTCATCGGGTCGTACAAACCGCTTGTCGGATAGGTGAGAGCTGGATTCATTGCCCTTAAAATCGGAGGATACGTCTCTGCGCCCTGCATATGTCTCGCGTGCGACTCGGATTCTGATACCATATACAACGGAGTGTCGCATGTATTCGAAGAAACAGGACTGGTTAATGGCGCGTCGTGAAACCCGCCTTCGGGGTTACTTTCGTCAACCACGCCCGAAAACGAATTTATCGCAGACCCGGCGCTATCGCCAGCCGCACTGAACGCTCTGACAAAATGGGAGTGACCAGTCGCTGGTCCTCCATTGATAAAATACTGTGCCACTTTCTCGGCATCTCCTACAAGGTAATTCGGCAATTTTTATTCCAGGTATCCCGGCGTATTGGAAACGTAACGCGGCGCTTCTTAGGCGTATTTTAAGTGTCCTTTGGAGTTTTTAGGACCTTCGAATTGGGGTGATCAATCCTTTGTGAATAAAGTTACCCTCTATATCGTCAACAGTAAAACCACTTTGCGTGAAACTACTTTTAGAGGAAAAGTTCTCGAACATCCATTCCGTGACAATGGAGTTTTTGAAATTGAAATACCAAGTGACGCATGTGTGGCACTTTTTTTCTGAAGGCGTGTCTTTCCGCAAGGAATTTCGAAACATTTCAGTTGAAAGTTAAGGTACTTTGTACAACTCCAAGCTTATCTTACCCGGTCTGAGACGACGCCGGTATTTTGAAACAGAACGCACATCTCGCTCCTCATCTGTCAGATCCTCGGAAAGCATATTTAGTTCGACGGCTTCCACTTCTTTTTGTATGCGCTGTATGCATTCTGCACCTGAGACTGTACGGTATTGTTGAGTTGAAACGCGAAATGTGCGAGATTCTCGGTTTTTTGCCGAGTCAACATTTTATTAAAATACACTTAGAAATGTATGACAATACCTTTGTCACTGTCAGCGAAATTGCAATCACAATGGCCGTTCTCAAATACCGCGGAGGCGTTACATTGTACACACAACAGATCGCAAGTTTCGGCATCATTTGTGTCTAATAAAATGCCATGAATTGCCGCTGCAAATACACATTACGGTGAAATTTAAACATTACAATGCAAAATGGGAATAAGTATTTCATCACCAGCGATGTATAAATTATCAGGAACAATTCATACATGTCCGCATAGTTTTTAGAAAGTATGACATTGAGAGAGAGAGAGAGAGAGAAAACCATTTAAATTATCATACTAAATTACTTCTAAGAATGTTCTTCTTTCATTATCTAAGGTCTTTAACATAGAAAAAGAGATTTCTTGAATTATATATAGGCAATTAAATGAAAATTTTACATTTATCTTAACCGAATAAGTAATTTGATATAAAACAATTCGTATCTCGCCCATGTCACAAAATTTTTACATACACATATACGAAAAGAATAAATTATCGATATAACCCTGACTAAAAAAATTATTATTAAGATGTTACGAAGTAGCGCTGATTGCAAAAAAATTGTATACGAACCAACGCAGCATAGAATATGAAATAGAAAAACTCGATGACGGGTGATCATGTTGGCCGATGAGTAACGAAATTCAAAACTTTAAGTCTGATACAAGTCGTGTCTGGTCCCGCACTGTACTGCTCTGACTGCAATTATGTACTTTTACTTATAATAGTTCGTAACTGCGCAATTTGCGAGCGTGTGCTGACCGTTCCTCGAATTGCTCCCGTGACATCTTTAATAATGCAATTTCGCGTTTTCATTTACCATGGATGCAGCCAGTTGCATAACTCTACACCGGCGACGTATCGAACATTTCGCAATGTGTCTTTATTTTCGGTAAAGATATTCGAAGAATGATTGCGCTAATGAGCACTGCATATAATTTTGTTGCACGGCAAGGTTTTCTCTTCGTCGTGATTTTATTAAATATCTTTCGGTTTACGAGGAACGAAACTATGTAATACACACGGTGACTCATAAAATTTTGTACAAGCTAATAATTATGAATCGAAAGATTTACACAATCAATTAATAAAAATAACTAATAATTACTTAATCAAGTAATTATTACAATCAATAATAAATACAATTCATAATTACTATACAATAATGATTATAATACTACAATAAGTGTAATAATATTACAATATTACAATACCACAATGATTATTACAATTGATAATTGTTTAATAAAAGTATCTATAAAAATATTATTTAAAAGAATTAATAAAAGTATTTTCAGCATGAGAATAATTCCATAAAAATTTGCGTAGTTAACAATTTATTTAAAAGACGATTAAAAGCGACGTAAAATTATGACGATCTTGTCAAGTAATTTTTAGTTAATATTTAATGCTAAATAAAGGAAAAAAAAACCTTCACCGTGACAATGCTTTCACGCATTGCCGTGACCAGGATTCGAACCTGGGTTACTACGGCCACAACGTAGGGTCCTAACCACTAGACGATCACGGCTACCGAAGGTCGTGTGAATGTGGTTCGCGTTTTTAATCTTAAAGACGCCACTATGTATATACCTAAACTTGCGAGCGCACACTTTATGTTACTGTAAAACGAACCATGTACATCTCTTTCTCGAATAATCGGGTGACGCAAGTAATAAGGTTAGACCGTTAAAACCGCACATGTAGCGGAATGTATCAGAAATTTTATTTGAAATTCCACTAGGCACTTTGATAGGAAATTTATCGGAAATCATTGGCCGCCTGAATTTTTTTTTGTATAACAAATTTACGAAGCGAAATAGGAGGCCTCATATTATATCACGATATTCGATAAATGTCGAGTTGATTAGTATTTTGTTGGGAGAATTTTGTTTCACATTTCTATTTCTCTCTCGTAAATCGTGCCAAAATGCATTTTGCATTCTGCGAGACGATCGTTTTAGAATTTCTAATCCGTTCAAAAGTGTGTTTAGTAATCGAATTTGCAGCTTTGATTTGTGCCTTATATTTTATTAAAAACCTGTTAATACTTTATCAGTTTTTTATTTTGAACTTAAATGATTCGTATTCTCAAACAAACTTTAGTATACTTATAGAAATTCTTAAAATTGTGATTTTTACAATTTTTAATTAGCGTATTCGATTTTTCAAAGATTTCAAAGAGATCAAAGGATCGGTTTATCCATAATCGGTAAACTCGCTGGTAATTTTATCAACCAATATAAAAACATTTTCAACCGCTGGTATTTTACAAACAGCAGCCCGAGAAATCAAAATGTTTTAAATTATATTATTTTAAACTCTCAAAAATTTACACAGAAAAATGTATACAAGACAGTGGCAAAATTTAAACTTTTAGCATTGCAATTTGAAATGCTGCTCATTGTGTAGTATATATTTTTATTAATTTATTTATATTTCATTTATTTTTAAAGTTTTTGTTTATTTTATATATTGTATTTTGTTTTTTGTCTATTATATTAAGAATAATATAATTACTATATCAACACAAACACAATATACAAACGTATATTCACGAATATTTAAATTATATTGTAAGATGTGTACATTTAGAGTATCTGGAATATAATTATCCATAATCGATGCAACTTTACCTTTATAGCCGAATGTATGTACACCAATCGCACTCAGACTTGTATTGATCTGGTTAAACGGATAGTATTTTCAGAAGAGTCTCAGTAATCTTTCACGCCTTCGTTTACGTAATTAATGTTTCGCGGCAACGGTAAAACAGCCGTAACTTCTACATTATAAATAACTTTAACCTACTAATTGTAAGTAGCTGAAATATCTTATTTTGATATCAGTCCTCATCATTTTGCCGCAATTACTGAAATTGTTTTTATTTTAATTTACCACTTTTGTTCTTTTTTTATTATATTCTACCTTTTATTTTATTGTATAATTATTACGGTCGTTTATACACGTATGTGTATATAATACATTTGATGTCCAAATCTGGTTATCAGTGTAAATTACATTATGTAAATTACATTACAGCTTTCAAACGGGGTCAGAATTACACAGTGTATCAAGGCATGAATAATTTGGACGCTGTGAGTTCTATTGCTCTAACACGAGTTATATATATTCCATGGAAAGTGTTAAAATTTGAAAATTTCGTTAGGATAGATTAATTATCCATCAATGTGTGTTCGTATTCGGCTTAAAGTTATTATGTTTGAAAATCTCGTTATCTGAACATATAATTGGAGCACTACAAATTCCATTACCGCAATATGAGCCACGTCGAAAGCGTGAAATTTTAGGAATCTGTTAGGAACTGGCAGATACAGTTAGTCGATATAATTCAATCCGTTCGGTATAATTAAATGCTATTTTTGGTTCAAACGAGAATAAATGCCTGGATACCACTAAAAGTGGTTCAACTATTCTGGCATTGAGTGCGTCGACGCCAGAAGTGGTCGCCTCAACGGTAGATCGTGCGGGTACGTTCCTGGATCGTCGTATCGGTGGTATCACGGAGCTGTGAACCACTTGCTGTCTCATGCTCTCCCGATCACGAGAGTCTCCGGGAGAGCCTATCCCAACCAAGCCGATGCAGAATCCGGCATCGTCTTATATTCATGCCCCCCCCCCCTTTCTCTCTCTCTCCCGTTGCCGCCCGTCATCTGGAGTATGGCATTCTAGGATCGCGATTGGAGAGTCTCAAGAGTACGCGACGCAAAAGGATCTGTAACAGCGAGTCCCAGTGGAACCGTGAAGGTTACTGGCATTATTCTATGACACTGCGAATCCGGATCCATCGATCGTATCCTGAAGAGAATTCGAATCTGTGACGCAACCCGGGAAGCAGAGGTATACCTGCAATCTCGTTATACAGAGTGATCTGGGATTCGCCGGAGGCTCTTGTTAATTTTCCCGGATAAAACTTTCTTTCAATATGCGGAGGGGGACATTATTTATCATATCGCTCGAAATTTTGTCATACTGTTATATCCTTACGGCTGAGCTCTTATTAAATTTCTATTAAATCCGCACACAATTTATTGCAGAACTTATGACTCCCTCATTTCTCATCTTTTCTAAAGCTCCAGGGGTCCTCCTTTTCAATCATTAATTATTCGAAGGCTACGTATATTTATGACACTTTGACATTTCTGCCTCGAGAAAAATCGATCACAAAATAGTGAAAGAGACAGCCGGCGATTTCAGGACACCCTGTATAACCCAGTTTCTTCGTCTTCTTCATTTTAGACGTTTATCAGACAAAATCGACCTTTGATTCTTCCCTTTTCTCCGCTTTTCCCTTCACTCGTGCCACAAATTACGATAGGAAGATTATCGAACAATTCGTTATCCTGTTTTTCGCGGAAGATGTAAGCAATCAAATTGTATATGGAACGATAAATCGAACACAAAAGCAGTTAAGAGCGAATCTATCTGTTACCTAATTAATGTATTTATAGACTCGGCCGAAACACCGAGCTTTCTGCCTCTTACGTATTAATTTCATTAAAACCAACGTCACAAGGCAAGGTAATACCTCGAGATAAAAATCTGTTGTATTAAAAAATTTCTTTTATAAACGTGTCATATCGATCTCCTGTGCGAAGGCACGAGTTGATGATTCAGGCACTTTCTTCCGGGTTATTTACGTTCCTTCTTTCGCGATACTTTTCTCGAAGTCTTTAAGCGATTTGTCGATCCGTTTCACGCACTCAGCAGATATTTTGTGATCAATATCGTAAATCTGATGAGCAAGCACAATTAGATTATCGAGAGGCACGTACCGCAGGTTTTATGGATACAAGAGGAGCTCGTACTTTTTTGATAAAATCGCTTTTCAGTCTTCTGTCCTGGAATATCATTTTCTCGCCAGTTCTCAGATTATCGAAGACTTTTAGCCGCAACGGTCCAAACTTCTTTTGGAATTTCTGCACGTCACCCGCACATTCCGTCTCCAGTTTCTGTATTTCAGCATGAATCTTTCTTTCGTCCTCGCCCAGTTGATCCACCTTCTTGTTGAACTTTTTAATGTCGTTGTACGCGTTCTTATAGTCCTTACTTGTTTTTACTCGTATCTCTTCAATGAGCTAAAATTGCACGGAAAACAATACGACTTTGCGATATGTACGTGGCCAATAAATCCTTTCGCAAGTTTGCGAGAAAAAATTGTCAATGCCAATTGACGTGCATGTCTGGTAAAGAAATAAGATGTGTCAATCACCTTTTCGATTCCAGTGTTAACGACGTTTTTGAGATGTTCTGGCGCATTTGCGGATTTATTGAACGTCTCCTCAACCCGCGTCCGATTGGTTTTAATCCACGTATCGATCTTGGCCTCGATTTTGTTGTCATCGTAGTCCATCAAGAACGTATCCTCGTTCGTAACATTGTCCTGCACTCTTGCCAACACTTCGGAGCTCCAGTGTAAAACGCGATCTCTCTCTTCCAAGAGGCCTTCCCACGTTTCAGGCATCCTGCCCATAGTTTGTCCCATTTTGCCAGGCTAATAGAAAATAAAAATTGTAAACCGTGTCCGCGTTTTATCACAAATCTGCAAGTTCTGATATACAAGAAGTTAGATTGTGCGTCGTGTCTTCTTGTTCTTAATTCGTAATTAATTCTTCACAAGCAGTTGTGGAAATAATCGAGCCACCCTAATCCCCATTCGTTTTAAGAAGAACCGGAGAAGTTTTCACTCCATCACGTTACCTTGTATTTAAATCCCGTGAAAATTTCAGATAAGTCTTTTAATGGATTTACTATTAAATTTTCCGTGAGAATTTTCGCGGCCAAAATAGCATTTGGCTCGTGTAATCGGAGATATTTATGAATATCTCGTCTATCGTTAAACCGAAAATTTTGACAGCTAGAAATATTAACGATCGCAATTTGATTAGAAAAATTTACTTGACGTTTGCACCGTTGCGGCAAACACCGCGCTCTTTTGTTCGCCAATGTGTTTTAATTTATACGGTGAAATTTAAACGTCAACAAATATCATGGCAGCGCTATTTTTATTGAAATAAATGTACTTCCTTCAATTATCCCCTACAGAACAAAATGTTGTCCACAACGATGTGTAAAAACGGGCGAAATTTATTCTTTCGTAACTGTAAGTGGGTCATTCGAAAAGTTCTCGAAATGAATTACAGATTCGCACACAAAACGTCACATATGTATGTTAAATGGAAATTTTCCACCCCTCTACGAACACGTATAAGTATTCAATTCATATCATCAAATAGATTCATTTTTTTATAGGACTTTGAACGATCATATCTGCGTAATTTTTTAAAAAATGGACAAACTCGAGGTGCCGTGCTGTGATTAAGATACGATTTGTCGCATTCTTCTCAATCGCCTTCCCAAGTAACACAACATATTGGCGCAACATTAGGAAATCCTCCCTCTATAAAAAGAAGATGTTAACTGCGTGAGGCCTCTTTTCCGCGATGCCGATTGGTTTTCTCGAAGCGCGGTGTGCTTCACTTCTCTTTTAGTTTCATTGTGAATGAAGATTTGCAATTTAAAAATATACATTTGTATACATTAATCATTGAGGTAAAATCTCTAATCTT